CTGGTGTCTACATTGCATATTTTGTTGTGATGTTTTGTTGTACCATCATAAATGGTACATTTTGTGGAGCAGACTGCCTAATTTGATGTCATGAAATTACACACAAAATTAGAGCTCAGGTTGCTACCAGCAAGCACCATTTTCAGTATGCTGTTCTTGTTTTCGGCGGACGACAGAGGGGACAGCTCCCTCTCCTTCTCTCTTCCCCGTTGTGCTCGGTCACGGGGAAAATGCTCCGCAGTTTCCAGACAAAGTTTACTAATACTTTTTTTTCTTGATTAGTAAATTTACTATTACCTAGCAAATTCCAGAGAGAGCCCAGTTTACACTCAAATCTGGTCATATTAATTTTCTGATTTGCATAATTAGTTTTCAGCTAAGTAATTTCGAATTATATTTAATGTGTCTCCAATACTCTCAGCACATGGGAGTTCTTTCTAAGCTTTCTTTGATTTATTCTGTAGTTAATAGGATAGGGTAGAATATTTTATTTGAAACATACACAAAACAGAGCTTATGCAAAGTGCAAAGAGATAAATAACAAAACAGCACAGCTAAAATAATTCTAAGACAAAAAAAAAAAAAAATTCGCTAAAATGCTGGAAATATAACTGTCATTACCTGAAAGCACAAAAGTAAATAATTCTTCATCGGAAAGTTTGTAGCCCATAAATAAATAAATAAATAAATAAAGGAATTTCATCCTATTTTCTTTGAGAGTGTGATGCTCACATTTTGTGAAGTGATTTATCTTCTGTCACTGAATTGCAATTATTATTTTAAAGAGAAGGAGAGATTTTTTATCTCATATATATATATGACTACATGTCGACAATTCTTTCATTTATCTATGTCATTTCACATCAGAGAATAATCACTATATGTAAGGGGTATTTTGATATTCACCATTAGTAATTTGCTCCTCCTTCCAACAGGACTGGTAGTGCAGCATGGTTACAAAGTGAACTGTGAGACAAGTTCAAATTTTAAGAAAGTTCTTGTGCGTTGTTATAATGATTCTCTCGGTGCTATCAATGCTGGTAGTCACTTGGCAAAAACAGAGCAGTCAAAGGTGAGTTTAGATTTCCTTTGATTTTCAAAATAATGGCTAAAATGTAATCTTGGCAGTCACTATTAAAGAGACAAGGACCGTCCAGATGAGAATAAATAAATGGTGTGACTTTATTGTATCCAAGTTCATACAAATATAATTTGACAGTATTCACAGACATTTTGTGTCTCATCAAAATGTGTAAAATGTGTCAACATACTGAACAGTATTCACCACTAAAATCAGAAAAACTATTATCATCTGGTTTATTTTTTTATTTTCAGAGGAAAGAATAGGGTCAAATAAGTCTTGCTCATATCTTTTGTTAGCTCCGCTGTCGAGCGGAGCTTATCATATGAGTGATTGTCCGTCGTCCATGGCAATGTTTTACTTTTTCGACTTCTTCTTGAAAACTACAAGCCTGAATGCTTTGATACTTGGTGTATATGTACCTTGGGTAGACCTCTCTCGGATTTGTTCATTTCATGATGATATCTTCAATTCTCTAATTTTGGTGAACATTTTTGTTATTTTTGGTAAAAAGTGATATTTTCAACTTCTTGTTAAAAACTGCTAGTCCAATTGCTTTGATATTACATATATAGGTACTACATGTGGACCTCTCTCAGATTTGTTCATTTTGTAATGATATATTTAATTCTCTAATTTTGGTGAATATTTTTGTCATTTTTAGTAAAAAGTGATATTTTCGACTTCTTGTTGAAAACCGCAAGTCCAATTGCTTTGATATTACATATTATAGGTACTACATGTGGTTCTAACGCAGATTTGTTCATTTCATGATGATATCTTCAATTCTCTAATTTTGATGAATATTTTTGTAATTTTTGGTAAAAGGTGATATTTTCCACTTCTTGTTGAAAACCACAAGTCTGATTGTTTTGATACTATACATTTTGTTCATTTTCTAATGATATCTTCTGTTCTTTAATTGAAATGTGCATTGCTAACAGCGGAGCTATCTCAGCCGACAGGCTGCTTGTTTTCCTTTCAAGTTACATCAAATTTCTTTTCTCTGACTGTACTGTGTTAATTAAAAAAATACACTGCACTAATCTCTTCCTTGTGTTTGCAGCCAATTTGTGATCTGTTGTTTGCTGTGTCTTTACTTCACACTGTATTGAACCAAAGACGGTTATATCACCAGAATTCATTGATACAGGATTGTTATTGGTGAGTTCCTTCCAACTTTACCTCATTGACTTGATTTCTGTGTCCATGTCAGTGATGAGTCAACAGATTTGACAATCATAACTTATTTTATATAAAAGTTCCTACTTGTTTGTGTGAAGCTAGGTGTCTTTCATTGTGATTTCTTGTTACTAAATGCAGATTTACTTCCTAGTGATTGTGATCTTTGTTTTGTAATCAGACCCCAAAATGAATCATCATCGCCTATGAATGAAAGATTGAGTGCAATAATACTGTGTAAATTCCTAACTAAGTGTGTTTCTTCAAAAGTAATTATGTTGAGCCAAATTAATTTGTTTGCATCAATTAATGCTGAATTGTTTTACAGTGTTTAAATATCTTGTGTTTACTGATAATTCACAGGTCTCATGGAGAGTTACAAACTGCTATAGATTGCCTGCAGTCTGTGGCCAAAACATGTGGCTTTGAAATGCATTCAGCATTGCAGTATATATTAGGTAATGTAGTGTATGGTGGCCATACGCTGGATCCCAATGACCTTTCATCCATTAGAGCTGTGGCAGACGGGTGTTTGCTGCCTGTCAACCATGACAAATTGCAGGTAAGTCTCAGCAACACATAATGTTGTCATGAAGCAGTGCTATATATCCTTGGAAACTGTTGTAGTTTTTTGATCGTCAAAATCAACTCTGGGCTATTCATAAAAAATATGTGAGCTTTAATTTATAAATATCTTATTGTATGAAAATCATATTTATTTATTTATTTGTAATTATTTGTTTTCATTTGTAAATGCTCTGTAACTTGAAGGTTTGTGACTGGCTTGTACAGTGGGATGTATTTTTTTCACCCATTTATGACCAAGCACAAAGAAATTCTTATATTATTATCGAGGGGTTCTGATTGGTAGATCAGTACCAAGTACTGCCCGGTTATAGGATGATAACCAGGCTGTACTTGAGATCACTGCACAATTGGACAAACCAAATTGTGTGTATTAAAATCAACAATATTTATTGTTTTCACATATTTGTAAGTATTGTTTAAAAAACAAACCATTCTTGATTCATTCACACTTCCTTCCCTGTGGAATTTTTTATATAAAAGCCTGCAATGAACCAAATGAAACTCAACAACTCCTCTGTGGTGTTCAGTTAGTACTGCCACAGAGGGCGCTCTGTGCTCAAACCACAGTACATGTGCAAAATGGATTATGCATGTACAAAAAGACAGTTGGTAAATAATTGATTCCTTGTAACTCAACATTATACAGCCTCTGTTATTAGTCCTATAGAAAGTATCTGCTATTATTTCTTCTCACAAGAAATAAAAAGAAAAATTTTGGTGACAATATTTGTTTGATGTTTTAACTCACAGGACCCAAATATGATGGGAGTTGTATCGTTGCTGAAATCATTGGTTCCCGAAGATGATATCTCAGCAGAAGCTGATGGAAGTTACCATGGTTATCAAGAAGTATTTGATAAGATGAAGGAGACAGTGACCACTGATCAGCTGGGTCTTGCAGAGACGGCGAATGTGGCACTTCAGTCTTTACTCAGCAGGTACTTTAATACCAGGTTTTTAAAATCTGTAACAAATTTAATTAAGTTTCCAAGATTAGTTTTTGCTGTTCAACTGACTTACTGAAATGCAAATGAAGCATTGTGTGTTTTATGGTTGTATAGTTTGCATCACTGTCTATTTATTTATTAATCCTTCAAATTTGAATACCAGTAAAAAGCATGGCGTATATTATTTCTCATGTGTCAGTACAAAGACAGATCTTAAATTAGTACTAGTATTAATAAATATAGTTAGCTAATTAGCCAAGATAACATGTAAGCACAATTTTTGGTTTACAGTATCACTGAGAAACAATTAGAACTGTGATTAAACCACTTAAGGCCAGACTCAAAAATAACAGCAAATTGTTTAGGAGAAAATCCATGGAAGTGAGCAAAATATTTGTTTATAAAATGCATGAGAAACTCTAGCTTTATCCTGAATCAGATCAGGGATGATTGAATTAAATCATAAACTTACATCTTGTACAATGATAATCCCGGCAAAATACATTTCAAATTAGTTTCAAAACAGATTGACACATTTCTGACATTTTTTCCTTTCATAGGAATTTGCTGGATGGTTTGAAGAAAATAGCTGGAATGTCAAACTTTGGTCCCTCGTTACAAATGGACATACTGGACAACATATCACAGTGTTTGGAAGATGTTACCAGTTACTTACAAAACCTGGCTCCACTGCCACAACCGCCTGAAGAAAGTCTCAGTTATTTGAACAACTTCCTGGCTACCGAAGTGATTCAGTGCCAGAAATTAGTAAACAGAATCCATTCAGACATCCAGTTGGCACTTACGGTCGCCAAAGGAGAGACTGCATCCACCCAAGAAACTGAACGTATGCTGCAGTCGCTCAAGATGAGAACTGTACCTCAGTCCTGGCTGCCTGCAGATTACCCATCATCCCTAGCTGTTAAGAATTTCTTTGACAACTTGAATTGCAGAATCTTTGACCTGACAGAATATTGCGATCCACAGAGGTCCACAGCTGTGTATAATTTGTCAGTTTTCAGTAATCCTGGCATGTTTCTACAATGCATTGTCATGGAACATGCCCGTAAGGAGTATCTTGAAGTGCAACACATCACGTTACACTCACAGGTCAGTACATAATTTAGTCCATCCTTGTTTTACTGTTATGTCTTTCAAAACTTCAAAAATGTAAACTTAAAACAATTCAATTGATTATTTTACTTCTGCTGTTGCAAAACATTTTTATACCAATTACCAACTTTGGAAATGTTGTCATCTCTTTTACAGTCATCCATTTCTTTCATTAAATATGCTTTGGTCATTCTTATCTTCTCATCCTCCTTTTTATTTGTAGTAGTCTAGCAAAATTTGTTTTTCATGATTTAGAATTGTTTTAGCTTATTTTGTTTGTGTTATTTTGGACTTTACACTAGCTCTGTATTGTGTATGTGCCAAATAAAATATCCTATTCTATCCTAGTAGTACTAGATAGATAAATTTCCAATGTAAATGCAATTCACATATATAGTAAAGTCACATTCAACGAGTCACTGTTCTCCATTGTAGTTTTGCTATTGTGTACATTTGATCCAGTTGCCTATTGTATCAATAATATTTGTTTAATTCCATTGTGTTATCTCAAGTTCAGGGCGAGGCTAATATAGTTCTTGTTTGTTTTCAGGTTCTTGGCTTTAGTCATATTCCATCCAGTAGCCCTGAATTTGGAGTTTACCTGACAGGCTTACACCTACACAATGCATTCTGGGATAGCAGACACGCGAGCATCCTTCATGCTGCATACAAACCGTCACTATCCATTCCGTCACAGCTTCCTATCGTCTGGTTGAAACCGGTCAATGAGAATGAGAAAAATGAACAATCATATCCTACATTCCGCTGTCCTGTCATTGCTGCAGTTGAACAGCGTGAGAGATTCACTGATAAGAGAGTGGTCTGTCACATTGACCTACCATGTACCAACAATATTGAACTTTGCCTGCAGCGAAGAATTTATGCATCATCGCAGATATGAAATGTATTCCTCGTCTGTCTGTTGTCATGTCTACCAGATTGGTAGAACCATACAGCTGTGCATTCAGAAAAACTTGTAGCCCTCTTGTAAATACTGCTGTGATTTTAAAATTTGAACTTTTCCATACTATCTGAGATATTAAAAAATAAATTATCCAAATGCTACCCTTTCTTGCTGAGAAATTCTGCTCGTAATTATGCAGTCACCAATGCTGCATGGATTTCAACAATTTTTGTTATCAACCAGTAGTTGAGCAATATGATGGTGAAATTTATCAAAATTAAATTCTCAACCAAGTGAGGGAGCGGAGCGAAAGATTCAATGTAGTTTTTATTTTGCTATGTTTGTGATCACTTGAAATAATTTGAAAACAGTAGATGAATGTTGCTGTTCTTGTTACACATGTCTGTTCATTCCATTGTATGATTTCCATTCTGTGTGTTAAAGTGTAATTTATCTGTATTTTATACAGTGTTTGATTTTTTATCCCAAAATGAATTTATATATATATATATAGGTACATGAATTGCTGTAAATACCACGTAAAGATCACTGCTTCACAGTAACAATGAATCGTAACAAAATTCCGTCCTCTGTATTATCTATACTCTGATTTTTTTTTTATGATTATTTTACAATGTATAAATTTTGCAGTTCATAAAAATGTTTTAGATATAATATAACTCTTGATATATACTATGAATGTGTTCTATCTGGTTTTATTCATTCACTCTTTCCACCTCTCCATTCTCTCCGAGTCATTGACTTGATTTTCTAGATATGATATGATTTTTAGTCCCTGGTCAGATGAAGTCTGAATAAGTTAACACAGATGATACTGCAGTTCTTGGAGATGACTTGGCTAAGATTTTTTTTTTAATCTGGTCACTTGGTCCACTGAATGGTGCCTCCACAAAAAACACCATTTATCATGCACAGGTGGGTCATTGAAAATTAGTTGTTTATAATAAATATAATTACAACTATTGTCAAGAAAAGTGCCACCCTTCTATACCTGAATAGAAAATACAAAATATGTATGCACCATTGATGCTGTATAATTTATTACTGCACAGGCAGGCATCAAGGGGGTACCAGTAGGTGGAGGGATACTCAAAGCCAGAAGGTACTGAAAAAGAAGTTCTACAAACAGCTGAAAGAATCTTCTTGAAACTCGCGATCCGACAAGACAAACACGCCCATGATTCTAGACCAAATGTTGACACTGGGGGGCGGTGTTTGACTTTTGAATGCGGAGTCCTAGTGTGATAAGTTTATGTAGCTGATGGACCATAGCTCGCTTTGTCATCAATTTTCATGATTTTCCAGTGTACCAAAACTTGAGAAAATAACACAGTCCTTATTGGTAATTTCTCAAAGTCATTTTATGAGCTAAACACAAGACATTCATTTACGATCTATTGTGACCGACATACTACAGAGTGGACCCAGTTTATTTTTCCGAGAACAGCATTCATTAAAGCAAAACAGCCATTTTTTTTTAATTTGGGGAAAGAATGAATTTTGGGAAAAAATTACGTGGGCTGGTAACCAAACATCCACTGGCTCAATATTAAAAAATATGTTCCTAATAAAACTTCTCATTTGGAAAAAAAATAATGTTCAGACATGCTCTTAGGAAAACAAAATTCCCTGTCACAGAAGTGTGAAAAATGTGTGCAATGGACCCAAATACATCCAGTCCCACGCCTCATCCTTATACAACATGAATCCAACTAGTGACCAATAGAATGTCGGGGGAGGGGTAGAATTCCTGGTAACGTTATTTTAAAACTAGTTTTAAACTACTTTACTGTTGTTCAACGGTTGTAAACAAATGTGTAGATTTTTTTTCTTCAAAAATTGTCTACGTGCAGATTATTTATTTCAAAATCCACTACCCCGACTTTCTGACGGTCAAATAGCGCACAGTAAATAAATTCACCGTCCGAAAACGAAGCCACCAACGGTCCATTTTCTGTGGTATGTGCGAGTCATACCCCCTGTCTTTTCAGGTTTTTCAGTGTCCGAGTCGATTGATCGGCTGTCACGCTGCGTGCCAGGAGACACTTCATTATCGATAAGTGTCTGAAAATGACAACAGTGGGTGTATTTTGACTTGAGTGCGTTATCGCATTGGTATTAAAGGAAATTCTGTAAGGACATTTTCTATCACCGCTCGTAACTTTAACCAGCGTTATACGGAAATATAATCTCAATGCATATTTTCCCGTCGTTAGTGGGGTGGTTTACAGTGCGTGACAGTGGAGTACGTTTGCCAAGAATCGATGTGGCGTTCTACGCGATAAAGAGAATCGTTTAAGATTATAGATTAGGAATTACCCATTACAAATTCGACGACAGTAAATATTTTATTCAAATGTATGTGGATTCACGTATTTTCCCCCAAGTTTATTTTCCTTTTCTCCTCTTCACCATTTACATTTGTCTTCCACAAACTCCTCCTAGTACAACCACCCCTAGTTTTTACAGATAAGGGATAATCAAATTGAATTTTAAGGGGAGCTTGAGAAATTTGTTATTGTAGATTGCGTGAACATATTGCATCTTTAGGGATTGGCCATTTGAAATTATGGGGTGGCTGGAAGATTTGCTGAAAACTTTTGAAAACGATTGAGAAATGCATGTAAGGTGTTGCAGGATGAAGGGGTTGGCACATACAAGAAAAATAACAATTTTCAGATAAGCCATCAAGAAAAATAAATTTACCCTGGTCACACTCTTTCAGTCACCCCACGATTTGAAATTGTTCACCCCTTAGTACACACAGATGATCGGGGCTCCACCATACCTTGATAAGCATTTGGAAAATTGTCGGCATAGAACCGTTATCTCCAAACACATTGTCGGACAAATTGGGAAAGTCGGGCGTCAAGTTTATAGGCCGCCCACTGCTTTACGATCTTATTTGTATAATCCAAGACAACGACAGACAGGCCCCATACTCTGTAATTCATAACCAAGATCCGTTCAGATAATTGACAGCTATGCCTAGAACAAACACGTGTCTACTTTGTTCACCGACTGGACACAACTGTGGTTCAGCTTCCCCGCCCACTATTGGTCTAGTTTAAATTTTTAGCGTGGGAATCATTTTTTATAATTTTCTCGCCTGTTGTTTATAACTCATATAATTAAATGAGAGACTCCAAAACTTCCGCCCAGTGATATAACTAAAACAATTACACAGGCGAACGATAATTGTCATGGTAACGGTTGATTTGGGTACCAGGATAAATAATAATGATGGGCGCTCGCACGCCTTTACATGTAACTATTCTTTAGCCCAGACTATAACATGGGGGGGGGGGGGGTTCACTCACAGTCACGGGTGATCAAACGTGTTTCTTCAGGTTGGGGTATGACAGGATGTGAGGCAACATTCGCCAATTTATTTTTTCATTAAATCTAAATTTTCTCCCAAATATTTATCGTCATTAAAACTGGTTACGGTAAGGGTCGTCATCTGCGCACGACGATAACAACACACACTAAAAACGCAAAGGCTCATGGGAGAACGCTTGTTTGTAAGTAAGTAATTCTTTATTGCTATCGTATCCCATTTGAGATCTTGACATGAAATACAATAAAGTCAAATGTAATAATAAAAAAAATGAAAATAAAAGGAAATACTAAAAGTATTGTAAATGAATGAAATAAATACATATCTCACAATAAGAGATAAATGAATAATTGTAATATAATGTAAATAAATGTGAATCTGTGTTTTGTGAGTTTTTTTTTGAGGCAGCTGGTACTGAAGTTATTGTTTGATTTTTTGCTCCCTAAGCATAAAGCAAGTATAAATGTGTTTTGAAACGTCTTTAATTATGTGATCGTTTTTATTATTTAATATGTTTATTAATGTTTCTCCATACATTTTATGTTTAGTAAAAAGGCTGGTTCTTTCGTTATCATATAGCTGGCACGTGAA